GCGGTCCCCGTGCGCCCGCTGCCGCCGTGGCTGCTGCTTCTTGTGCTGCTGCTGCATCGATTCCGCTAGTAAAGCATGCATTACATTTAAAAAAAGGCACTTATTGCATTAATATGCTAGGGAAGAGCAGCAAGACTTAGAGCAGCAGCAGCAGCAACAGCAGCAGCAGCAGCAACAGCAGCCGCAGGAGTAGTTTTGCTGCGGTGCGATAATCTGCCGCAGCAAACTAAGGCCCTTTGACGTAAATAGCCCAAGGGACTCCCTTCAGCCTCTGTTTATTTCCAGGGATATTTTTGAATAATTCGTAACGGAAAAGAAATACAAACGAGCCTTTGTGCGGCCAAGGCACCGCAGAGTCGCCAGGGGCTCATCTCTGACAGCTAAGCAGGTGCTGCAGCAGCAAACGCGCGCAGCCCCTCACTCTTTGCCCACCCACTGCTTCCTACCTTTTTCTCTAGATACTCAGGGGCCGCTGCTGGCGCCAAAGAGCCCCCGGGGGGCCCCTAAATTCTAATTGGGGTACTCAGCCAGCCCGCTGCGCATGCAGCGGGAGGCCCGCAAGGGGCCCCCGGCAAGCCTGCTTTCCAAGCGCTAGCCACACTTGAAAAGAAGCCAAAAGAGGCTCATAAAGCAGCTAGCAACATAGAAAATGTACACACGGGGCCTAGGGGCCCCCCAAGGGGCCCCCAGGGCTACCGTGCAAAGCAGTCACATAAATAAACTCTCTAGGAGTAGCAGCGCCAGGGCAGCATATGCACATTACCTTAGGGGAGTGGCAGGGGCAGCATCTAGTGTGGTCCACTGGTCTTGTTGTGACGGGGGTAATACAGTACGTGCTGTTGCTGCTGCTGCTGCTGCTGCTGGTATCGTCGCTTTTCCTGCCGCAGTCTTCTGTGGCCTCCCAAGAGAGGCGCAGCAAGGATGGTGGGCCTCGAGGTGTCTGACGTTAAAAAGTACCGGCAGGTTAATGGCAAGGTGTGCTGCTGCTTCTGCTGCTGCTGCCTCTGTTGCCCAAGAAAGGCGCCTGCCGCCGCAGCAGCTTCTGTCACTACTGCTGCTGGCGCTGCTGCTGCTGCTGCTGCTTCAGGACTGGTGGTTTGTTAGCTACGCGGGAAACGACGAAGCCTACTCTTGGCAGCCTGGGGTAATCCGCATACGCATGCATTTCAGCAGCAGCAGTGCAGCAGAGGCTGCTGCTGTTCCTGCTGCGCTTTTAGCCCCAAAACATAGTCAGGGTTCACCTACAAGCAATTTCTGTCGTTCACGCTGTTGACAAGAAAAGACCGATCCTCGCTATTCATGCTGCTGCTGCTGCTGCTGCTGCAGAGTGAAGTGCAGCGCGCCTCTGCTGATGTACGTTCCACAATGGCGGAGATGAGGACGAGGTACATAAGGACTCACAGTTTCTCCCAGGAAGGTGTCTTTGCTTCTGCTGCTGCTCCTGATGCTGCTGGTGTTGCTGCTGCTCGCGCGAAAGCCCCAGCAGCAGCACCAGCTGCACGAGCTGCAGCAGCAACAAAGACAGGGACACAGCGCATTCCCAGGCAGCAGTAGGCTGTCCACGTAAAGGAACCGACGGGGGTAATGCAGTAGCAGCAGCAGCAGCAGCAGCCGCATCTGTTGCAGCAGCAGAGACTCTGTGAACGGGTAGATGCAAAGTGGAGCGCAGCTACGTGAGCTGCGAGTTCTGTCACGTCTGTGCCGCGCGCGTGCTGCTGCTGCTGCTGCTGCTTCTGCTGCTGCTGCTGGGGGGTGTTCTGCTGCGCTCCAGGTGGCTGCTGCAGCAGTACTACAAACGGCAGTGCGTCATCGGGGGCCTCTGGCTCCTCGCGGGGGCCCTCCTGACCCTCGTGGGCTTCGGAGTCCACATGGCCTGGGATGATCTCAAAGGGGCCCCCTTGGGATCAAAACTCTACACTTTGACTTTGCCTTGCTGCTGGTGGCTGGTGGTTTGCTGCTTCCTGTCCGTTTGCTTCGGAGTTGCTGCTGTCACCCAGTCCTTCCGCCTCCCCCGCGGCCTCCGCGGCAGACAGTCCGTCCGATCCGGCGTTTCTTCCCGCAGTCAGTCCCAAACCCTAAACCCTAAACCCTAAACCCTAACACGTAGCACCCGACGGCGGTGGGCGCAGGGAGCCCTCGGCGTTCCCCATACGCAGCAGCAGAAAGCAGATAAAGCTGTTGCTGTTGCTGCTGCTGCTGCTGCTCGCGAATAGCTGCAAGCATTCCCTTGGCCATTTGTTAGGGCCGTTTCCACCAGAGCCAGCTGCAGCAGCAGCCTCAGCGGGCGCAGCACTTCGCTGGCTCAGAAATAGCTGCAGCAGTAGCGAGTGACAGCAAGTCAGTGGCTAGCTGGCACCAGCTTCGCTAGCCAGTCCGCTAGCTAGCCAGTTTCCTACCAGCTAGCCAGACAAGGAAGCAGCTATGCAGAAGGGCGCAGGGCGCAGCACACACAGTATCCATGCTGCCTAGCTAGCTCCGTAGCTCGAGTATATGTTGCACCCCTTCTGGCTAGCCAGGTAGCTAGCCAGCTACCTAGCTAGTCAGTTAGCTGGCTAGCTAGCTGGCTAGCTAGCTGGGTGCATGGCGGTAGGCAGCGTGGCTAGCCAGCTTTTCACATTTGCTGCTGCCATGAACAGGCAGCCGTTCCCCTTCAGTCTCAAGGCGAAGAAGAGCAGCTCCTTTCGGAAGGAGAAGACGTGCTGCTTCCCCTGGGGGAGCAGCAGCAGGAGCAGCAGCAGCAGCAGCAGACGCAGACCAGCCGACTCTGGGGGAAGTAGGCATGGAGCCAACAACGGAAAGCGGAGGCGACAGCAGCGGCAGCGGGGGCGCGTTCAGCTCTGACGAGCAGCAGCAGCAGCAGCAGCAGCAGCAAGCCTTCGCAAGCCAAGAAATAACACCCGGACTTTCAAAAGCAATTGGAGATGGACCCCTCAACAGAAAGCTGACACCTCGGCCCTCTGGCGAGGCTTTTGCTTCTCCGTCTCGCGCTGAGTCGGCAGCAGCAAAAGAGGGCGGCGCTGCTGCAGCTCTCAGCCGGCACAGCAGCAGCAGCAGCAAAAGACAAGGCAGCCTAGTCAAGCACAGCTCCACCCGCGGCAGCAGGAGGTAGCTACTGACAGCAGCAAGCAGCAGCTAGTTCTGCTTAATCCCCGTGCACTTGAGCAGCAACAGCGGATGGCTAGCTGCACAGCTCTCCGCCGTTGTTCTTTGCTGCTTCTCTGGCTAGCCAGACAATGTGTGGCTAGCGACAACTTTGGCTGGCAGCAAACACATTTCCTTGAGCAGCCAGCTGCTCAGCGAAGGCTGCTAGACCCTGAAAGCGAGACTGTAAATGTCCTTTGTAGAGGCTGCAAAGTGCTGCAGCTAGTGAGTCGTTGCTGCTGTCAATGACCCCCGCGGCTAGTGTGGGCTGCAGCTGTTCCCTCTTCTGCTGCTGCCTCAGCTGCTTAGCTGCACTTAATGCTGCTGAAGCTGCCCATAGCTGCTGCTGCTGCTGCTTCATCTCGCGGTAGCCGCTGCCTTGATCATCGGGCAGATCTGCTGTCGATTGACACCACCTCAAGGGTGGCTTTCGGCTGCTGAAGATCAACCCTCAAAACCCACTACACATTCCGCTGGAAAATGGACATTTAGGCAATAAGCGCAGAAGAAGCTACCACTAGCAGCAGGTAACGGCGCAGCAGCAGCAACCACTCCAGCAACAACAGGGAGAGCAGCAGCAGAAGTTGACTCAGAACCCCGGAGTGCCGTCTGCCTGTCTTCTCTCATGAGCCCCATTAATGCATTTGAGGCTTGTTTTGACAACTGCTACCTGCTAAGAAACGTGCGAGCCGAACAATGCAGTGGCAGCAGCTAGAGCATTACACAGCAGCAGCAGCAGCAGCAGCAGCAGCAGCAGGAGCGCGGTCCCGGGACGTCTTGTGACCCCGAGAGTTGTAGCCCAACTCTGGCTGTCTCCTTAGCTAAACTTTCCTTGCTGCTTTAATTCTTCATTTGCAGCATCAGAGAGTGCGTTGCTGCCGCAGCAACAGCTGTTGCTGCTGCTGCAACGGGAGAAAAACTGATATGCTGCTGCTGCTCCGATTTGCGTGGCAGCCATGAAATCGGCGTATTTCAAGGGTGCTGCTCCCTCTGCTGTGTGCCTCCAAAAGAAATAACTGCAGCAGCTGCTACTGCTGCCTGCTGCTGCATCTTGGTAGTTTGTGTCTAGAGGGCCCGCAAGGCCCTCTGCGCATTTGCTGTGTTTTCTTTATTACCCACAGTAGGCAGCCATGACTTCCTTCACGCACATGCTGCTGGCCGCGGCAGTTTTGCTGCTGCAGCAGCAGTGGGTGCAACGCTTTTCCTGCAACGCCCTGTCCTTTCACCGGGACCCGTCGGCAGCAGCAGCAACTGCTGCTGCTGCTGCCACTCTAGCTGCGACAACGCAGCTGTCTAACGTAGATCTGCTGGCAAAGCCACGGCATTGCCCTTCAGTGGGGCCGCAGCAGCAGCAGCAGCGGCTGCAGAAGCAGAGGCGCAGCGCAGCAGCATTCCTAGGGCCCCACGCTGCTGCAGCGCCACTGCAGCACGCAGCTTCTTCCGCGTTTTTTTCTGGTGCAGCTGTTCCAGCAGCAGCAGCAGCAGCAGCAAACGCAAGTACAGTGAATCTGATAGGAGCGACCCTAGTAGAAGTAGCAGCGGCGCCTGCAGCAGCAGCAGCAGCAGGAGCAGCAGCAGCTGACTTACCTTTTAGGATAGGGCACGGCTACGACTTGCACCGACTGTCTACTAATCCCAAAGAGATGACAGGTGAGTTGCTGCTGCACCTCTTGCAGGTGTTGCTGCTGCAGCTACTGCAGTTGCTGCTGCTACTGCTGCCATCTTTGCTTTGGTGCTGCAACAGTTGCTGTTGGCGCTGCCGCTAGAACTCCCGCCGCTGCCGCTGTCAATTTTTCTGTTGCTGCTGTTTAATTTTCTTCTGCTGTTGCTGCTTTTGCTCAAATCCTCGAGCGCCACTTACCTGCTGCTGCGCTGCTGTTGCAGGTCCTCTCATACTATCGGGCGTTTCCTTTGCCCCAGAAATTCCAGCAGCAGCAGGGTCAGCAGAGGCGAAGCAGCAACAGTCGGAAGCAACTGCAGCGGCAGCAGAAGGCGCTGCTGGGGAGGTTCAAAGGGGGGACAGTTTCCTCTCAGTTGCTTCCTCGGGCTTTAGACGTCTGCTGCAGTACAGTGCATCCGTGGCCAGCAGCATCAGCAGCAGCAGCAGCAGCAGCAAAAGCAACAAAAGCAACTTGGGTGTGGGCGTCGTAGCGCACTCAGATGGGGACGTGGTGCTGCATGCGGCAGCTGACGCTGTATTTGCTGCAGCAGGAGCTGCTGACATTGGGCAGCAGTTCCCTGACACTGCAGCAGAAAACAAAGGCCGGAACTCTCGAGAGTTTGTTGCTGCAGCAGTAGCAGCTGCTGCTGCAGCAGGGTACACAGTGGCGCAGGTGGACGTCACGCTAATGCTGCAGCGCCCCCGCATCAGCAGCAAGAAGCAGCAAATGATTGACACACTTGCTGCTGCTCTGGGCATCAGCAGCAGCAAAGTTTCCCTTAAAGCCAAGACGGGGGAAGGGGTGGGACCTGTTGGCCGCGGCGAGGCGGTGGAGTGCCACGCGGTGGCGCTGCTGCAGCGGCAGGCTACAGATGCAGCCCCTGAGGCAGCAGCAGCAGCAGCAGAAGCAGCAGAAGACTGATACTACTGCGTGCTAATGGCAGCGGCCTGCTGCTGCTGCCCTTCGATCACGCTGCTGTCGCAGCCGCAGCAGCCAGTGAATCTCTTGCAGCTTAGAACGACAAGAACTCGCTGCATCGGCTGCTGCAGCTGTGCTGCAGCTGTGCTGCAACTGCTGCAGCAGCCCTGCACGAGCGCGTTTCTGTTATGTTGCATGCTGCAGCTGCTTCCTGACTGCAGTAGGAGTGACCCGCGCCAGGATTGCCTGCAGGGACCGCAACAGCAACAGTAGTTGCCAGCAGCAGCAGCAGCTGCAGCAAATGACCGCAGCAGTTGCACAAACACAGGTAGCAGATGCTACCCAATGACACTTTTTACGAGGCCTCTAAGTAACCCATAGCTTAGGTGGACTCTCAGACCGACACTAAAGGATAAACCCCATATTTTGTTGTTGCAGCTTCGCGTGCTACTGCAGCACCACTTGCTGCAGCAGCAGTACGGGGCGCGGCATGACGGCCTGCTGCAGCTGCCGCACACATTCGCCAAAGCTTACGCTGCTTCTACTGCGTGCTGCTGCCGCTGCTGCAGCTGCCGCTGCGGTAGCAGGTTGATTAGTGTTCAACCACACTTGCTGTATACTGGGAAAGTACCAGATATATCGCATAATGATGCAAATTTTATTCAAAAAGTTCTCCGTATGGAGCTCAGCACCACCAAGAAGGGAGCGCCAGTAGCTCAGCTATTGTTTTTGCTGCCTAAAACCTACAGCTGATGTGAAATCGCTGTATACTGCTGTATCCATCAAGTCTATGCCCTAATGGATACACCAAATAAGCTAAAAGCAGCTGCTGCAGCTGGACGGCAATTGCTGCATTAACTGCAGCGGCGAATGAGGTACCACTGTGCAGAAGGGGAACACGCAGCAAATCCAATGCCTGCAACGCTGGCTGCTGCACTGGCTGCTGCAGTGGCAGGGCGTTTGTCAGTGGAAGAAGTAAGGGCTGGCTAGCACATGTCTGATGTCCAGCTCGCCCTTGGCGGGGGGTCGAGGCAGCTCTGCTGCTTGTTTGGGAAGTCGGCTCTTGACGCTGTCATACAGAAGCTGCAGCGGGTCGTGCTGGTAGAGGTGAACGAACTGCTGTCTGAGGGCCACTGCCAGGGTGTCTATACACCCGGCATGGGCCCAGTAGGAGTCGTGCACGGCGGCCATGTCGATCTTGTAGGTGCCTATACACTCCAACGCCGTGAGCATCATGTGGGCGGCGTCAAGGCTGTGAATGAAGTTGGGAGGAAAACCCAAACGCTGCTTGGACCTGCTGACAGGCGCGCTGTCTCCTGACACGTGCAAAGTGTGGCGCTGCAGCGGGGAGCGGATTTGCTGCTGCTGCAGCGACCGATAAGGCTGCTCACACAACAGCCCGATCGCGGGCACCTCCCATGCCACCGGCACTCCCGCAGCTGTACATACACCCGAAACGGTGTCCAGCCACTTCTTAGTCTGCATGGCGCCCCGAAACAGCTCCCCAATGGACTGCAGCACAATGCGAGACAAGAACCCCCCTAGCTCCCGCAGCACTTCAGGCCGCAGTTGGCCCCCCAGCAGGTCCTCTAGCTGAGAAAGCACTTGGTCTCGGGCCCCAAGGGCGGTCACACCGTAGCAAACGGTCATCACTGTTTGCTTCACTACAGATCGCTGCAAAATTCCGTGCGTTTCACACAGCCGCGCCAACTCGCGGCGCCTTTCCTGCTGCTGCTGCTGCCATGGCTGCTGCTGCTTCCGTGCAGCAACGGCCTGCTTCCGCGGTTTCTTCTTTCCATTCTGCTGTTGCCGTTGCTGAGTAGCTTCCTCTGCCGCTGCTGCTTCTGCTGCTGCTGAGGAGGCCGTGGAAGAGGCCGAAATGCAGTGCACATTCTGCTTCACGACCTGCAGGACGAGGGAGTAGACGTCTTGAGGCGTTTCAGCAGGCAAGAGGTTCACAGCAGCTCCTCCCCGGAGGTCTCTGCCCAAGGCAGCGTAGTGCTGCAAGCCATTGCAAGTGCCATCGAGGTGCACCGGGAGTTTGCTGGGGAAAGTTGTGGGGTCCCCCGACTTGACTGCTGCAGCGATCTCGAGGACTGCAGCAAGGGCCTGCCAGGGCTCCTCTGCTGCTGCCCAGAAGTCCTTGTGCTGCATGGGCTGCTCCGCTGCAGCGAGGATCTGCGGCATTCGGGTGTCTGTCCAGCTGCACCTTCGCTCAAAGGAAAGCTTGTTGTGTCCGAACAGATTCGCCAGGTGTATCCGCAGCCACCGCCAGCCACTGTCGCCCAGCGGCCGGCTGCGAGTAAACCGCAGCAAAGCGCGCGAAACATCATCTCCCATATGATTGAGGTGAGGGGGGAGTGGATAGCAGCGGCCCCTGAAGTCGATGTTGTGGGGAAAGTAAAGAGCTGAGCACAAGGCGAAGTTTTGCGCTGTTTCCAGCTTCAGCAAAAACGAGGGGCGCTCGCCCTTCATGCGCGTTTCTTGCTGCAGAAGGTGCCGCAGCAGCACCGACCGGCTTTCGCTCTTGCTGCTGCTTGCGCTCCTGCTGCTGCTTCCGCTTTCCTCTTGCTGCTGCTGCTGGGCTTCGTGCTGCTCCAGCAGCTGCGAAATGGGGAGGGAGTGCCGCGCCGGCATTTTGCCTAGCCCCTCGCCTGAGGCCCAGGCCTGCTGCAGCACCTGCAGCACTTGCGTGTTGATCTGCCATGGGACAGACCCTAAAAGAGAGACTGCAGAACGAACTGTAGATGTGTTATACACTCGAAAGTCTTGACACGCCTTTGCTCGCGGGCCCCACCCCAAGTAGATATCGGAGCCTTTCTTGCTGCGGCTGCCGTTCTTACGGCTGCTGCTGCTGCTCCTGCTGCTGCTGTCGCTGCCTGCTGCAGCGTTCACAGACGAGGCGGCGGCGTCCGAGTCGGCAGCGAGGTGCTCAGAGTCCTCTGCTGCCTCCCCGTCAGCTGCGCCGCTGCTGCTGCTCTCTTTGGCGCTGCTGCTGTGGCCAGCGCCGCTTCCCGGGTCTGTGTCAGACACGCTACGCACAAAAGCTGTGCGCAGCATCAAGTAGCCGCCGCTGCCGTAGGCAGTCCAGGGCGCTGGGGGCAGCAGCATGGGGACGTGCTTCAGCATGAGCCAGAAGGGAGAAGACAAGCGATCTGCAGCTGTACGTACAGTGGCAGCAGCAGCTGCTGCTGCAGCTGCTGCTGCTTCTGCACCTCCGCCCTTCCCCAGCGGCAGATGCCCTTGCTGAGAATGCTCTTTAGCGTTAGCAGGTGGTTCGGCAGCCGTTGGTAGTGGTGCTGCTGCGAGGGACAGCCCTGCTGCCGTGTCTGCAGCAGCGGCAGCTGCTGCTGCTGCCGCTGCTGCTGCTGCGGCTTCTTCAGGACTGCTGCCCACCGCGGTCAAGCGATCAAAGCAGAGGCGCCGCATTTCAATAACTCCGAATTTCTTTCGCCGCTTCGCGCAGTAAAGAACTCGGTGGCGAAATGCGGGAACCTCCACCTGCGCGCACAAACCGCAGCTAAGCAGCCCCAAATGTTCAGCCACAGCCGCTGCTGCAGCAAACAGCAACTTGAACTGTTCGGTCCCGTGCCACAGCAGCTGAGTGCTGAGCCCTGCGTAGCTCCATGCAGCAGGGCGGGGCCCCCGCGGGGCCCCCGCGTGGCCCCTGCGGGGCTCCTGCGGGGCCCCCTACCAGATTCTGCAGCAAACTGCCACCCCTAGAAGGGGGCCCCTGCATCTGCCTGTGCAGCAGCTGACCTTGTCGTGGCCGTGCCGCGACTTGTAGGCCACGAGGTGCTGCAGCTCCTCAGCGGCTCGGCCTCCCAGAGGCACATACACCCCTAAGTCTGCTGCTGCGTCTGTCAGTATCTCCTCTGCAGCCTCTGCTTCTTCTGCAGAAGCAGCAGCAGCTGCTGCTGCTGCTGCTTCTTTCGAGGCAACAATTTGCTCGGCCGTCTCAGGGGCCGCTGCAGCTGCTGCTCGAGCCTGTGCTGCACCCGACTGATCTAACAGCTGCTGCTGCTGCTCCCGCCTGCGGGACCTGCTCAGAAGTATGCGCTGCTTCTCGGCCCTCAATTGCTGCAGCTCTGTGGCGAGCTCCTCTTTTGCTGCTGCATATGGAGCCTCAATCATCGCATGCTTCACAAGCAACTGCAGCAGCAACCCCCCAACAGCAAGACGCTTCCGCGAAGACCACCGAGGCAGCAGCACCGGTGATGCTGCTAGTGAGGCAGCAGCTTGTGCCGTTTGTGCTGCAGTTCCGCCGCTGTAGCGGTGCTGCCGCTTTTGCTGCTGCTTGCGCAGCGGCAGGTAGCACTGGCCCAGCTGCTGCTGCTGCTGCTGCTGCCTCTCGAGGAACGCAGCCGCAACTTCTGCGTGCACTGCGTCTCCGATACTCATTGCAACCTGTGTTACTAGCGCTTGCCGCTGCTGCAGCTCTGGCCCTCCAGCAGACAGAGCAGCTGCAGCAGCAGCAGCAGCTGCCGCTGCTGCAGAGCAAGATGAAGCAGCAGTCAAGCCTTCTCGCCCTTTGCTTGTCGGCCCTGTGGGAGCTGTGGCTTTAGGCAGCAGCAGCTGCTGCAGCACTGTGCGTGCAGTAATGACAGCCAGCAAAACAGGTTCCAGCTGCTGCGGGAGGTAGCCATCGTTGCCGTCGAAGTCTGCGACAGCAGCTGCTGCTGCTGCTGCAGCGTCCGCGTCATCAGACTCAGCAGCAGCAGCTGTTGCTGCTGCAGCAAAGCGCCGCTGCCGCCGCTGCAGCGCCGCTATAGGCTTGGTCATGTCTTTAACCCAAGGGACCCACAGCCGCTTGGCGGGGCCTGAGTCACCTCCTTTACCTGTTGCAGCTAGCTGCTGCAGCTGTTGCTGCACTTCTGCTGTTAGCCGCTTCCAGATGCAGCCTTCCACTATTACTTGTCTTCGCCGCAGCACGCTCATCAGCTCCTCTGCAGAAGAACGAGAGGGGGCCAACTCCCGTGACTGCTGCAGCTGCAGCTGCTGCTGCTGCTGCTGCTGCTGCGGGTCAGAGGGCAGATCTTGCTGCGTCCAGCGGAGCGGGATCGGGTAGGGGTTCACGCCGTAGGCTGCTTCCTTCTGCTGCTGCAGCCAATCCGGATTGAGCAGCAAAGGCTGCTGCCGCCGCTGCTGCTGCTCCCCAGGCAGCACAGCTGTCTTCAGGTGTCTGAACAGCTCCTCTCTTGGCACATCTGCCAGCAGCAAACCTTGCTGCATGGCCTCCAGCTCGAGAGCATGAAGGCACAGCAGCACACTGGCCGACAGCCCAGAAGAAGCAGCAGCAGCTGCTGCTGCTGCTGCGCCTGTTTGTGCTGCTGCGGGGCAGTTGGCTGCACCAGCACCCTCCTCCGCCTTGCCAAGCAGCCTAGCGTACACGCGCTGCTGCTGCATCTCCCCCATCCGCCGCAGCTCCTTGAGGCCCTCAATCGCTGAAGGAGCATTTGCTGCAGCTGCTGGCGCTGCTGCTGCTGCTGGCGCTGCTGCTGCTGCTGCTGCTGGACCTCCTTTGCTCGCTTGGGAGGAGCTGCTTTTGCACAGCGCAGCGCCCGCGTTAGCAGCTTGCTGCTGCGGCTGCTGCAGCAGCTGCTGCTGAGGCCGCTCTTCCATTTGCTGCTGATGCTGCTGCGGCTTGTGGAAAATGTGATGCGGCGGCTGAGGGAGCTCTAGCAGGAGTTGCTGGAGAGATGAGTCCTCCTGCCACGCCCATGGATGCTGCTGCTGCTGCTGCTGCTGCTGCAGCACGCCAGCAGTTTCCAAACTTACTCCTTGCCACTCTTCATCGCTGTGCTGCAGCGCCTGCTGCCAAACGTATGTTCCGAGAGGCCGCAGCTGCTCTGGCTGCGGTGCGTGCTGCAGCTGCTGCAGCTTCTGGCTCTCCTGAAGCGGCTGCGGTTGCTGCTGCTGCTGCTGCCACTGCGGCTGCTGCTGCCATTGCGGCTGCTGCTGCCATTGCGGCTGCTGCTGCTGCTGCGGTAGGTTCTGCCATGCCGGCAGCTCGACGTGAGGCTGTTGCGCCCAACAGGAAGCATGAGCAGCAAAAGGAAAGTTGTCCTCCTCAGTGAGTTGCTGCTGAATCTGCTGTTGTTGCTGCGGCCACTGGTGCATGTAATAACGCTGCTGCGCGCTCTGGTGCTGCACAGCAGCAGCTGCTGCAACCGAGCTTGCTGCTCTTAAACGAGCAACTTGCTGCCGCTGCCTGCAGTGGAAGCAGCCTCTCGGCTGCTGCCACTCCTGCTGCAGCAGCATTTGCTGCCGTTGGCGCTCTAAGCCCAACAGCAGCGGATGCTGCCTTCTGCAGCGGGAAGGCCTGGCATTGGCAGACGCAGCAGCAGCAGCAGCAGCTGCGGCAGTCGCTACAGGTGTAGCGGCTGCAGCAACTGCTGCTGCAGCTGCTACATCTGCTCTCGTGCGCGGGGTGATCTGCCGCAACAGAGACATGGCAAGCAACCTGATTCAACAGCAAAAGTAGCGGGAGTAGCAGCAACTGCTGCTGCTGCTGCCGCTGCCGCTGCCTCCGTAGGCAGACAAAGCCATGCAGCAGGTGCTACACCGCGCTGTTCCTCAATAACTATAAGAGAAAAGTTTGGAGAGCCTCGCAGCAGCATCAGACCTCAGCGGCAGAGGAGCTCTCAATGCAGTAGATCTTCTGCCGCCTCTGGCGCTGTTGCTGCTGGGACTGCTGCCTTTTTATTGCTGTTGCAGTCGAAGAACCGTTGAACGTGAATTAGATAAAATAGATCTCGGCACAGGCAGAAAACTAAAAATTTCTAGAAGCCGTGTTGAAGGTACTGTGGCTCCTGCTGCTGCTGTTGTCGTCGCGGGCCTGCAGCCACACGGGGGGCCCCCTGGAGGCCCCTTGAGGCTCCACATGAGAACTCAATATGCCTCTATCCTTCTGCTATTCCAACAAATTCACGATCCCTAACTCATTGATTGCAGATTGTCAATTCAACTGTAGCCGTGTTTCTGGGGTTGTTGCTCCTGCGGCTGTGTTTCACTTCTGCTGCGGCACCGTGGGGCCCCAAGGCCCATGGAGGCCTTCTTTGCTCTCTTTGCCTACACACGCAGAAAGGCTAGTCAGACGAAGAATGGTTGAACTGCAGGCTTTCTTTTTGCCGTACGGAACAGCAAAGAGTGAGACCTGCAGCAGGAGAGCGTCAGTTCGACGAACAGCAGCAAGTCGAGCACCTGCAGCAGCTGCAGCACCGAAGCTGCAGCGGCAGCAAGAACAGCCACAGCTGCAGCAGTTGCATTAACTGCCGCTGTCACAGTGGCAGCTGTGGCAGCAAAGGCAACCTCAATGCCTGCTGAGGCTGCAGCGACAGCAGCCGCTGCAACAGCAACAGCAGGAAGCAAGAAATAGCAGAGAATCCGCCCTCTAAACAGCCAGACGGAGCAGCGAAATTTGGAGCAAAGGCTTCTACTGCGATTCTGCTGCTGCTGCTTTGGTGACACCAATGGTTGCCTCGTTAATAGCGGTAACAGCCCCTTCTTCTGCTGCCATTGCGCCAGCCGCTGCGTACAGAAGGCCAGCAGCAGCCACCGCAGCAGCAGCTTCGTCGGCTCTGGCTAGATTGGCTCGCAGAATTCCAAATATGAGCTTCAGCTCGCCGCATGCATTCTATACAGCAGCAGCAGAACATCTGCCAGCCACCCGCAACAAGGCAATCCAAAACAGCTGCAGCTGCGCAGCAGATGGGCTACAGAAGCAGCAGCAGCAGCTGCGAGGGCAGCAGCAACAGAGGCGGTTCGCCAAGATACTGAGATGGCACCCAGACACTCCACTGGCACATGGACTCGAGACTTTTACAGATGCGGAGGACTTTCTCAAGGCCTGCCAACAAAATAAGGGTACGCAACTGCTTGTGCTGTTGCAACTGCTGCTGCTGTTGCTGCAGCAGCCACTGCAGCCGCCGCTGCAGCAGCCGCTGCAGCAGCCGCTGCAGTAGCCGCTGCGGCAACCGCTGCACACACTGCTCAAACTGCTCCTACTGCTCCTGGTGCTGCCGAGGCTGCTGCTGCTGGCTCCGACATGTGTGTTCCTTCACTTGCTACTGCAGTGGCAGCAGATGCTGCTGCTGCCACCACTGCTGCTGTCGTATTCCTTGTTTGCAATAATTTGAACAGATTTTGAGGCTGTCACGGGCAGTATGTTTCCTCCCGGTGTTGGAGAGCTCAAGTTTGTAGCTCTGTTGTGTTGCTGTTGCCGCTGCTGCTGCTGCTGCTGCCTAAGACAACATGACACGCCGAGACTGGCTTGCTGCCCTATCTTTGCTATCTACGCGACGCCGCCTCGACCTGCGCAGCAGCTCTTTTAGGACCTTTCTTGCTGCTGCACTGCAAAAGCAAGAGCTGCTGCAGCCTGCCCACATACATCTTACAATTCATCGGTGAGTTGCTGCAGGAGCAGGGGCGAATGAAAACAATCAGTAACAGCAGCAAAAGCATCAAATGAAACCGCAGCAGCAAATCCAGTTTGCAAAGTCACAGCAACAAGTAGTGCTGGTGTGTCCTCAGACTGGCAGTCATTGGCTACAGCCCAGCTCTCTGGCAGCTGGCGCTGCGGCTGCAGCCATTTCTGGAGCAGCAGCAGCTCAGCAGCAAGCAGCTGATTGTGTCAGCGTGGGGTCTTGCGAAGAATGGAGTGACGCACCCCCCAGTTTGGGACCTAATAGGTAGGCAAGGCCCACGACCAAAGCCCCAGCAGCAAACAGAAACTCTAAAACTAAGGGCGGTTCTGGTGTTTGCTTTCACAAGTAGTCTATGTTTCGGGGGTTTAGATCTAGGGTCTAGAGTTTAGAAATTATATTTCGAAATTTCGCGATTTGGCGGCAGGGGCTGAGGCTTTGAGACTGGCGAAGGACTTCAGCCTTGCAGACCTCTCAATGTGCCTTTGGGCTTTCGCCCGCACAGAGGTGGGTTGCTGCGAAACCTCCAAAAGTGTTTCTGTAACTAAAGGCCTGTCCAGCAAACTTTGGGTTCGTTTTTCTCGCATAAACTCCTGAATAAACGGCCTCATTAGACAGAGGGCTAAGGGTTGGGCTTCAGGGTTGTCTGCAGCGCCACAGCGTACTAGGGATGTACAGCAGCAGCATAGGTGAACTGAGTCTCTGCAGCTCTAGGGTTCATGCAGGCTGCTTCTGCTGCAGCTGCTGCCTCCTCACCTCTTTTCGCAACAGAAATGAGGAAGGACACAACGGTTGTTACACTTCCTGCGGCAGACAAAAGTTCAGCTGCTGTTGCTGCTACGTGTGCTTGCGCAGCGCTTGAAGCCTGTTGAAATCTTGGCCCTCAAAGAAGAGGTTCTCAGCCGCCTAGATAGCTTCGTCCGACGGACCTTCGCTGCGGCGGGGAAGCCGTCTCAAGCAAAAGTTGCACAATCAACAGCAGCAGCAGAATCAACAGAAGCTGCAAAGGCGACAGCTTCAAGTGAGCCTTAGCTAATGGCATGATGGCATGATCCACCCGCGAATCTCTCAGCAGCAGCGCATACATAACTAACATTGCTGCTACTTCTCTTGCTACTTCCACTGCTGATGCAGGTTCATGCACAGTGACGCCGCATGACCTGTGCATGCTGATAAGGTCCTTTGCAGACCTCACCCCCCGCGACTCTCCGCTTATCATTCGCCTGCTGTATACGCTTCTTCTCGCTTGCCGGGTGCAGCCACCAGCTCCCCTGGCAGCAGAAGCAGCAGTAGCAGGGGGAGCTGCAGCAACAGGAGCAGAGGTAGAAGCTGACGCGGAAGAAGCCAACCTGGGATCTCGTTTTGCTGCTGGGGGTTTGGGTCCGCTGACTGCACAGGTAATTCAATGATGGTTTCTGCCCAGCACCATGATATTCGAGCCCATTGCTTGACCGATTAAGAGTTAGGAAGGATGCTGTTGTTGTTGTCCCAGGGACTCACTGCTGTCTGGACTGCTCTGAAGGACACAAAAATCGTGCAGGTTTTCTCTGTGCCACGGCACAAAAGGCCCAGCAGCGGCAGCAGCAGCCCCAGGCATCATGCTTACTTGCCTTTCAGAGAAACTGTGCCTCTTGAGTGTCTACCATTGCTGTTACCCATCCTCAAGCCATCCAAGGTATATTCGCACGCAGCGCCAGTGGTAACAGAAGCAGTAACAGCAGGAGGAACAGCAGCAGCAACTACGCAAACTGCAGACGTGGGAGGAGCTCCGGGTGCTGCAGTAGAAGAGGCAGAACAGCATGCTGTTGCAGCGGCGCCAAGTCCCTTGCCGACGGAGGTGAATGCTTGCTCTACGCCACTTCCAGATGCTGCAGCAGCCGTTGCTGCTACTGCTGACATGGGACTTAGGAACAGCGCGCTGTTGCACAACGCTTGCACTGACGTCCTCCTGGAGGTTCTTTGTGAGGAGACACGCCACTTGCGTCTTGACCACACCACCAACACCAGTATGGTGGCTGCGCTGGCTATGGCCCTCGCAGACATGCAGGTAAGCCAATATCTAGAGGCTTAATTTTTGGCGCGAGACCTCAGAAGCTGCACAGCCGCATATGAGGACAGATTCTGTGCATTTTTGCCGGCTTTATTATGCGCTCAAGCCGTACAATAGACTTACTAGGCACACGGAAGACATGGGCAAAGTTATTGCGTGTGGGGCCGCAGCTCGTCGATCCTCGTGTAGTATATCAGCTAGTGCTCTTTGCACAACAACGGGGGGCCGCACAGTTTCAGGGCGAGCAGCTACTAAAGGTCCTCGATGCATTTGAGGATTGTCAAATCGCAGACAGCAAGGCCTGGGCCAGACTCGGTTAGCTCCCACACGGTGTGTCTGCTGCTGTCACTACCGCTGCGCTTTTACGTGCGTCTTGCTTGCCTGTACTGACGCTACTGCTCGTGGTTGCCCTGACGCTCTTGTTCCTGATATTTCCGTGCCAGCTTTCCTTGATCCTTTTCTTTGCCGCTTCTGCTCTCATTCTCTGTCGATGCTACTGCTGTTGGCGCTGCTCTCTTAATGTTTCCGTTATTCATGTTTCTCTTGTCGCTGCTTTTGGTTGCATTCTGTGAAGTTCATCGAGTTCAGGACGTTGCGGCGGACTTGGACTTGAAGGGACTACAGAAATTACGACAACTGGCAAGACGTTCTGGGCACAGCAATGAAAGGCTCGAGGGAGTCATGGACCACTTTGAGGTCCTCAAGGAAGACATAAGGCGATCTGGGCCCCTCTAGGTTGACTTGCGATACGCGTTTTAGAGCTTTTGTGCAGAGGCTGTATTTCCGTTGCGGTTCCAGTTGGGGTCAGCGTCGATGCCTGTTCGATTTTTGCGCCTCTGTTTATGTACTGCTCTACAGCGCACTGCGTTGTGGCTGGTTAGATGCACTGTATGCACGTTGTGTATGACGAATATGTGTACGACAGGTTGTTATGTAATGTCATTTATCCAGTGGAGTACCAGGCAGGCTGTTGACCTGGA